ATATATATATATATATATATATATATATATATATATATATATATTAGAGTAGTCAATTTGAGGAAATTTTTGATTCTAAAATACCATACACTCTAGATTTAGGTCAAATGTTAAAAAAACAACTCCCAAATAATTTGAGCTCGACAGGTCTACTCAATCCTTACCCTCTAAGCATTTTTTTTTTTTTTTTTTTAAATCTCAAAAATCATCAAAAATTGCTGATTTCACAGGTCCAGGGGGGAAGTTTAACTGCAAAAATTGAAATTTTTTTTTTGGGTTGTTTATTTTTACCTATATATTTGAGTAAAAATACTTGATATCATGGTTTTTTTCAAAAAATATTTTTATTTTTGTATTTTGAATTGAAAAAATTACAATATATGAAAATATACTTACCGCATTTATGTTTCTAACAAAAGATTTATATTAATTGTCCAGAATATTTACATTTAACTTTTTTCATTAATAATGTAAATCTACAATAAACTTTAGTAATTTCTATGAGGTGGGAATTTGACAAGATTTAATTATAGTAGCTCAAAAAGCAATTAAATGGTTTTAATTGCTTTTTTGTTGTGTGTTGTAAAATGGTTATTTGTTGTAGTAGTAAAATGTTTTACAATAATTATTTAAAATTTGATTTTTTAGATTAGTAAAAATTAAATTAATTTAAATATGTATGAAGAAGAAGAACGTGGTCAGAAAACAGAAAGTGAAAAAACACTAAGATCTAAAAAAAAACAATTCACTATTGAAGAAGCAAAACCAGCAATAAAAGGTAATAATTAGTTTTATAATGAATCCCTTGAGCTAAAAACTCAAGCTAAACTTTTTATTTTCTCTTTTTTGTAATTAAGGGTGTCAGCTTCCAATAGGAATGAAGATACTGCAGCACTTAGCTTACAAACAATCATTTTTGCCTAGAACATAAAAAAAAGCCATTATTCTTGCTTGTCCTCCTCAAAAAAAAGATGTACAATAGAAAGTAAGTGTGAATGTATTTTGGCCAAGGTAAAAGAGCCATGGATTAAAGCTGGATTTTCTATACTAAACGACCAAAGTCTAGTGAAAAATCTTTCAAATCTGGACAATGTATATTCAAAACTTAAGAAGCATGAAAAAAGAGGATCTGCTGCAGATTTGGCACAGCAACAAGAGTTTAAAGTTTATTTGAATAAAATGTTTTGGGCTGGCATTCCTGATCTTAGAAATACAATTAAAAATGAAAAAAAAAGATCTGATTCAGGCAAGCTTGAATTTTTGGAGCTTCTGGAGGAACAAGAAGGGGAAAGAAAATTTGTGCTTGGATCAGAGGATAAAAAGTACAAAAAAAAAGTATGTATTTTTTTAAAAACAAAAAAAAAAAAAAGATTTGCAAGGTTTTCTAAGCAACTTACTTACAATTTGCCACTTTAAAAGATTTAAAATAAAAACAACTAAACAAAAATAACAATGTTCACTCACTATATCAATTTCTCATATAACTAAATTAAATTATTAATTATTAAATTCTTTTGATATTTTTAGGCAACAGTGAGTAGCAGAAAGAGAAAGCATTGTGTGAAACAACAATATAAAGAATTAGATGGGACAACTAATGTTAAGATTGATACAGATATTAGTGAGGACTACTCGCATGATTCTGATTTTAATTCTGGAGAGTGGTTTGAAAAAAACCTTTTCAACAAAAAGTCACCACTGAAATTCCCATAGACATTTTTGCTGGTAATGTAGCTCTTATGGCTACAATTAGTGACATTTCTCCAAGTATTTTTCATGAAGTTACAGGTGCAATTCTACCTCAATCAGGAGCTGATCTGACAGATTTTAAATGTAGCCAGTCTACAGCAGTTAGAAAAATGAAATATGCTATTCGTAATATATGCATAATATCAAAAGATGTTCAACAAGCAATGAATGAATCCCTATACCCATGCATAGTACATTTTGATGGCAAAAGATTAAATGAATTAAACAAAGCAAAAACAATTAAAACTGATAGACTGGCTGTTCTTGTAAATATTGAAGGTGAGACACACCTGTTTGGAGTACCTCCTTTAGCGTCATCCTCTGGTGAAGATCAGTGCAATGGTGTAATTAACTTTCTTAAGGAGTATAATCTTAAAGCCAAAGTAGGAGGAATATGTTTTGATACTACTGCAAGTAACACTGGGTTAAAGAAAGGTTCTTTAATAAGAATATCCAACAATATAGACAAATATCTTTTGCTTATTGCATGCAGACATCATGTATGTGAATTAAGAATGGTTCATTTTTGTAATTCAGTTTCAGATGAACATTACACAGGATCAGATAATCCTATGTTTAAACTGTTTTTGAATGTCCTCGTTTTAATTACAATCAAACAGAACTAATAAAGTTTGATTGGAAAGCAGTAAGGGAAAGCTTTCTTGAGAAAGCTGCACCAGAGTCTTTAAACTTTTGTCAAGAATACATCACAAAGGGAAAAGAAAATAAAGATTTTATAGAGAGGAACTTGCAGAACTTGTTGTGAGTTACCTTTCTCCGTTTTCAGTAAAACTAAAAAAACACGAAGCAGTTCATCGTGCTAGGTTCCTATCTAAAGCACTTTACTACCTAAAGCTATAGCTTCTATCCAGCCAAATTGAATTCGTAAATCAGAACAATAAACTAAAGACAGAAATCAGGCTAATAAGTGAATTTACAGTTTGCTTTTATGCCAAATGGTATTTACAGGCTAATGACGCTATTAGAGCTACCTTTCTTGATATATAAGCAATACACCAAATGCAACAGAATTGAAAACTTTGTGCCAAACCAGATGCTGTCGATGTAGTTTTAAACTGTCTATATAAACATAATTGGTATTTAGATTTAACAATGATTCCTCTTGCTCTGTTGGATGACGATTTGTCATTTGAGGAGAAAGCAAACCTTGCAAAAGTAATTCTAACTTTTAAAATGCCGATTTCAACTTGTTACAATACTAAAAACTAATCAAAAATAGATATAAAAGATAAAGCAAAAATTGGAAACGAAGTTAGTGAAAATCCTTTTTTCCTCGCTCTCTTAGTTGATGAATTTTCATATCTTATGTTTGATAGAATTGGATTAGAGGAACAAAGGATAAAAGATTGGCTTTCGCTTCCCCTGAGTATTAGTTTACTTAACGTGTTTTTAAAAACTTTCAAAACTATGCCAAATCTTTAATTGTAGTAAATGATCATTCAGAAAGATCTGTTGGAATGATGCAGAAATTTATTCATCGATACAACAATGAGGAAGATAAACAGAATACATTGCTAACTGTTGAAAAAGTTTGGTGTGCTTTCAGAACACCTGGAAGACGTTCAAACAAACTTTATAAATGTAAATTTAATGAAAGCCTATCTTCTCTTGATAAAAAGAAGAAAAGTGGTGAAAATGAACATTGAATGTAACTGAAATTATTTGAGCATGAAATTTAATCCAATAACATGAAACTATCATCAAATATTGTAATTCAAAATACAAAAATAAAAATATTTTTTGAAAAAAAACCATGATACCATGTATTTTTATTCAAATATATAGGTAAAAATAAACAACCTGAAAAAGAAAAAATTTCAAATTTTTGTAGTTAAACTTCCTCGCTGGACCTGTGAAATCAGCAATTTTTGATGATTTTTGAGAATTTTTTTTCTAAAAATGTGCTTAGGGGGTAAGGATTGAGTGGACCTGTCAAGCTTAAATTTTTTGGGAGTTGTTTTTTTAACATTTGCCTTAAATCTAGAGTGTATGGTATTTTAGAATCAAAAATTTCCTCAAATTGACTACTCCTAATATATATATATATATATATATATATATATATATATATATATATATATATATATATATATATATATATATATATATATATATATATATATATATATATATATATATATATGTGTGTGTGTCAAAAAAAACACAGCCTTTTTAGCATAAAAATTATAAACTTATTAATGGAATTTGTATGTTTAGCTATCTGTAAATCCGACCTTAACAGGACAGTTTTTTTTCCAAATTTTGTGCCATGCTTTTTTCAGTATTTTTAAAAGTGGCATGTTATGAACATGTTTTGCTGTGTTATTTTTTCAAAAATTTGTATCAACATAGATTTTTTTTTTAATACTAGAATAGCTTAACTTTAATTTTGCACAGAAATATATATTTGTAAAATTTTGTTAATAATGAATTAATTGTTGTTTAAAACATCTTTGAAAAAAGTCTACATAATAATTTTTTCACCTTAAGAATACTGCAATAAAGCTCTTTCCAATGATATATAACAATCTAGTATTAGATTAATTTAAAAATTTTATGTTATATACCTAGTATATTAAGCATATACTATTGCATTCAAAAAAAACATAACAAAAAAAATACTGAGGTATACATAAATAAACCCAAAAATGTACACAATAAATATATATCTATTAATGCAACTTGATATGTTTTAAATTATATAGTATATACCTCAATATATAGTTTAGACATACATTAAACAAATAAACCAGTATTTTATAAATCATTTGTAAAATAATTCATCATTTCTTATGAAAATTGCTCAACCTCATTTTTTAATGACAGATTAATAAATATCTCTTAAGCATATATAACTTTAATCTTACAAATGTATATAAATAAAAAAAATATTGTTTAAGCCAACTCACAATTTCAGAAATAAAGATCTAGGAGATTAGTTTGATTAATATATTTTGAGTTAAAAATTCTATATTATAACAACCCTAATAACAGATAGACCATATTAATTGTATTTATATCTTTGAACTAGAATTATTTCACCTTACTTTCCCATTTACTTTATTTGAAACATTTCCCATACATTTAAGGGTGCATTTAAGTTTATTAATTGCCTGTATATATGAAAATTAAGTTATCATTTAAATAAATAAAAATAAAACAAAGAAAAACTTTTTGTGTTTTTAATTTTGTAACACATAATAAATAATAAATTTACAGATTATACATACTTTGTGTTAACAAATTTGAAGCTGCAGTACCCATTATTACAATTTAATAAATAGAGCATATTGATTGCACCATTTATTTTACAATCACATCTTTTAACAATCTAAGATAAAAATTTGTTTAGATCAGCAACATTGTTAATATGAAAAATTTTGAAAAATTTTTTTTTGTGATTGCACATCCAAAATAAAAGATAAAAAATAAAATAAAGTCATTCTTCTTTTTTAATTTTGTATCTATTTAGTTCTTACTTTTATAATCTTACTAATTATTCTTATTTAATATCAGCTAAATTTGAATTAAAATAAATGAACCGAAATTAATTTAAAAACAACAAAAGACACAAGTTTTATCAAAACGATCAACGCAGCTATATCAAAATTAAAAGCACCTTATGTAACAAAAATTGGTATAATCTGATTAATAAATTCGTTTAAAATAGTTAATTAACATTATAACTTTTACATGAGGAAACATTACAAATCAATTAATACGTTTAAGCTTAAAATAATTTTTTTACAAGCTACCATTATTGTTTATTTTGTTGTTAATACAAATCGATGTATTGACATTTGGCGCTATGGATTTAAAGCAGTCATGGCGCTAAGTAACAGCTCGTGACACGCAAAAAAATATAGAATCAAAAGGAAGCTGTTACAGATTTGATGATGTGCGAACTAGCCTTTTGAAAAAGATAAAATAAAACAAACAAAAAAACCCACAATCCCTTTGATCTAATGTTCTTTTCTGTCAAATACCAACATAAGTGATCTTTTTAACATTAAGTAGATGAATTATATATGATATGATTTATATTATTGCTGATTACAGTAAACTATCGAGCATCTATATAACCCTGACTATATAAGCATTGCTTATGTGTACAAAGTATCGAGTGACTATACCAAATACGAGTAGATTATTTATAACAGCACAAACTAGTCTCTATTTTTATAAAATCATATAATTTATAAAAATTTGATTTAGTAAATTACTATTGTCCCACTTATATAGCGGTTAGATCTGGCTTATTATTATTTAATTATGAGGGTTCTCCAAAAAGTCCTTATTACAGAGCACCACACATTCGTTTGTCAAAAAATTGTGACTTGCATGTTTAACTAACGCGTGTTTTTTTGTACTTAACTTGGGAAATTTACTACATTGCGGAAAGAGTGTGCAAAAAATACCAGTAGCAATATGTGAAACACTTGTTGATTAACTTAAAGAGAAAAGGTGCGTTAATATTTTCTCCAAACGATGTTTTTGACGTTTGCATTTTGTTTGAAGCTTTGCCTCAATTTAACATGGAGCAAAATGACAATGATTCGTTATCTTTGTCAAACGTTTGAGCAGCCGTAGCGCAGTGATTAGCGCGCTTGCCTCGGAAACTAGAGATCCGTGGTTAAATGCCAGCTCTGGGCAAGTTTTATAACATCGGTAAAAAAGAAGGCGTGAACTTTCTTTCAAATGTTCTTCTGCGGTGCTCTGTGATAAGACCATAAGGACTGGGAGCACATAAAACTAAGAAAAAAATTAAAATGTTACGTCCAATGTAATGTAATTATGCAGCCAATAATAAAAAAGTTTGCATATTAAATTTTTTTCTTTAGGCATCAAAGCATCGTATAGAATGCGATTCAACAGAAAATTAACACGATCTTAATAATATTTTACTGAAAATCATTTCAGTAAAATATTAATCAGCACTTACTGGTTAGTATTTTTAAGCAAAATTAATAATCAATCAGCACTTACTGGTCAGTACTTTTAAGCAGGAAAACGTAATTTAGCTTGATTCAACAAAACGTTACTTAGCATGATTCAACAAAAACTTTTTCTTAAAGGTCAATAAATTTACAACAAAGAGAAATAGAAGACAAAGAGAGATACATAGATAATGATCAGATAGACATGTATATTTAATATATATTTTTTATTATTATTTATAACAAGTAAATCAAATGGCGCCCCTTTTTAGCAACCATTTACACAAACAGATTTTACTTATTTTGAGAAGTGAAGTGTTTTTAGGCAAGAATAGGTTTCATTTGTTTATGCTTTAAGGAGACATGTCAGACGCTTTGTTACTGCAATACCTAAATATCTGACATGTCTTATATATCCAGGACCGTTATGACCAAAAAGCTGGCTCGATGACATACTTAATGATTGAACATCTACGAGGTCCCGCCGAAAAAACTTCCCCAGGACCCTAAAAAATAAATAATAAAATTGATCATAGAAAATGACAAATACAAAGTTTATCTATTGATGGCATAAACTTGCTTAAGTTCCTCCGAAAGCATTATTTTAATTTATGCGTTTTATTTCGCAGATGTTAAAATATGATTAATTTAAATATAACAAAATTTGTTTAAACATGATTGGGTCTTGATCTGAAATTGGTAGGTCTTGATTGGTAGTTAATCTAAATATCAAAAATGAGTTCTCTAAGAATTTACTTGTTCTTATTTTAGTTATAAAGTTATTTGTTAAGTTCTTATTTTTAAAAACTGAAAATAGACCTAGGTATTACTGGCTCCTGCACTTGCGCAATTTGAACCAGCCGGTGGTTTTTCGGAGTTTTTTCATTCGCGTTCGGGCATCATGAGTTATTAAATGTGCAGCTCGCAAAACTTATTTATGTAATTGTGTAGCAGCCGATTTGAGTGCACTACCTTTTAGTTTTTTTTACCTTCTATAGAAATGCACTAAATATTGTCAACACTTTCAAAAATAACATCAAAAAAATTTTTCAACTCACATCCTAAAATAAACTATATAATCAATACTTCTGTTTCTCGCTTGAGATTGTTATTAACACTTCGTCTATATTGGATCTACCATTAGGGTTGGTTGTTTTTCCAGCTTCACTGGTTTTTCCGTTGTAGATTAAATTTATTGATATTATCTATTGGTTTTCAACAATACTGTTATATAGTATTTTTGAAAACTATTAGATATTACAATTATTAAATTTAATCTACTATCTAATAGATATTGTTATTAAATTTGATCTACTAAAACACTATCTACAGATAACTTTGATAAATATGTATATCGGCAAAAATTATGGCTTATTTGCGTTAAATATTATATTATAAAATATTTAACGCAATATATTATAATATATTTAACGCAATAAACAATAATTTTTGCCGACATACATAATTATCAAGTCTGTACATATCAAGTTATTTTGATCTTTTCTTTGGGGCCAGGAAAATAATTTTGTAAGCTAAATGATTAAAAATGATTTGATTTTCTTTTATCTTGAATTATTTTAAAATTAAACATTAGGTTTTCCCCATTTTACCTAAACTGATTTTGGCAATTTTTGGACTTGAAAAGTTCAGTCGTGGTCGTGTTTTCATAAACTAAAATCAAGAGAGTTGCGTTTTATTTAAAAATACCGAATTTACTTTGGGTTGGTTCAAAATACACCAAACAAGAAAAATTGAAAAGTCGAAATATAAACAACGATATCTCCTATCAAACACAAAAAAATCAAACCCTTTTTTTTTGTTGAGATGGCAGAATGTTATCCAAATAGCGTTTTTTGCATTTAATGAATAAACAAGTATAATTATACTGGACGAATGAATCATGTCAAAAGAGTTTTATATTTTGTTCACTTTATAATTTTATTATCTACTTCAAATTTGTCTGTGCGTTAGACTTACATATCATAGTTTATTACCTTCAGTATGTTATGCTCAGCTATTTAGTTGTTTACAGATGATGTAATTAAAAATTATTACTCCTTACAAATGATCAATTGTGTTACCGAATCCTATGAAAGAAATCAAATATCAACCTATAAAAGAAATCAAGTATCAAACTAATTCAGAATTTTCTTTGCTAAAGTATAATACATTGAAGTTACTGGTTAAAAGTTAATACTTGTATTAAAGTAAAGACAATTAAAAAAGGACTAATCACCAGGATATGATTTAAGTATTAAATCACCTTTATAAAATCACTTGTTGCAACCCTAAAATTACTCTTCATATTTTTATGCAAATATAATTTATAAAAATATATTTCAAGAATAATATAAATGATTAACTTGGCAAGATGAATGATGTTTAAATTTTGTTACAAAAAAACATAAATGACCTTCTTATTAAAGACTAAATTTAAGGTTGTCTACAAGTATGGTGTAGTAATTCAGAATACACTTTAAAATGATAAACCTCCAGTCAGATATAGTTAGTATAGGTTCAAATTAAAAATAATTTTAACAATAATTTCAAAATAAGTTTGTCTTAGAAATATGATAGTTATAGTAAAAAAAAATTTAATGTTGGTTATAGATTAATATTGTTTTTAAATCGGTTATTGTAAAGAAAATTTAATATTACTTTACCCTTAGTTTACTGTTTGTTTAATTCAAAATTTTATTGTTTAAGCTCTAATCTCAAGAGGTAATACAGGCTACCTTAAATCTACTTTTTTTATAACAGTATGTCATGATGTATGAAACATGGGCCACAAAGACCTATCACATACTTATAAAAAAAATGTCAAAAACTCTTAGTCTATGTATTTATTGAAGTCATTAAATATGGGATTTTCAATACATCCATCAACTGGAGGTTTGAGTAGGCTATATTGAACTTTTTTGGCCATAGAATATATTTTATGGCCAAAAAACAACATTTTTCACTCTACTTTTTTTCTTTTTCTATTAATGGTTTAAATTATAATTTTTAAAAGTAAATAAAATAATTATATATATATATATATATATATATATATATATATATATATATATATATATATATATATATATATATATATATATATATATATATGTCATTTTTTAAGGGCATCCGAAAAATAATATATGATATTTGTTGCAGTAAAAAATATTTCTGTTTTTAAAATTTTTTTTAAATTTTATTTTATTTTTTTAAATTATTGTTATTGTTTTTATTATCAGTAATGTTAATATTATTATGGTTAATAATACTATTAATGTTATTTGTTAGTATTATTATTATTATTGTTACTAATCTATTAATATTGTTATTATTGTTATTATAATTATTATTATTATTATTAATATTAATATTTATATTATTATTATTATTATTATTATTAATAAAAATTGCAATAAATCTCTTTCATTATTAAAATAAGTATTTTATTTTCTGGTTGTTATTTTAAGTTTGTTAAAATTGTAAAATAATTTTAAGGAAACAAAATATTTGAAATATATTCAATTTAATTTATTAATGTTCTTTATTTGTTTGTTTTAATTGAAATAAAGGCTATTTTAAAAATGAAATAAAATTGCATTAAAAATTAAAAATGAATTAAAAAAGAGTAATTTATTTTCTTGAAGCATTTATTATTTCATAAGAAAATAGATTGAGTTGAATATAAAAGACTTATAAAATATAAATGATAAAATCTGTCTTCAAAAAACCCTTTACCCAGACAAATAAAAGTACAGTACCAATATGCATATGAAACAGATAACAACAGCATTAGTAAAATTATTATTATTATTATTAGTGATTTATATTTGAAAGTGATGTGTGGAAAGTGATTAGCATAATATTTTTTTGTAAAATTTGTTGAATTTAAAAATAAAGTGAAACAATACATTGTGTAATATGGCAAAATGAGGTCACTTTATAACCAAAATAATAACTATTAGCTTTTTTTTATTCATTCGGCCTTTGCTAAAAAAATACAGGTTTACATTGATTATTTTTTTTAGAAGTGTTTATTTATTTTATAGCTCATTAGTATTGTTTTACTGTATTTTTATTTTCAGATTCAACTAAAAATGGTTGTATTTAGTTTTTAGTGATAATGTTTATAAATAAAGACGAAAATGAAGTGCAACTATTTCCAATAAAGATTTACTTATTAAAAGCGGACGATTCAAACGAATCAACTACAGTCAATGTTAAAGACGATGCTACTGTTTCTGATGTAATAGAATCTGCTTTAGAAAATTTTTCTATTGTTTTGTCTGCTGAAGATTTTCAGTTATGTGAAATTTTCAATGAAAGTGGAGTTTTTCCTAATGACTTGGATACTGTAATAGAAAAAGGAAGGATTTTACTTTACTCAGAGTATCCGGTAAAAACTGTTCAAGATTGGGGCAAAAATATATTAGAAAATGAAAAACTTTTTTTTAAAACTTCCAAAGAAGTTGTTGAAGCATATAGAATATGTCTAATACCAAAAAAAACAGAATCTTGTTTAGAAGTTACTGATATTAAAGTCAGATGGCTAGATGGTTTAAACTCTAAGTTGCTACCTGAGGAATGGCATTTTGATCCTTACTTTAGAGATGAAATAGAGGACTTAGTTAATTTGCCTATTTTAAATGAGAAAGTTATTCTAGAAGAACTTTGTAAACGATTTTGCTTAGGTCGTATATACACATATATTGGTGGAATATTAATTGCTATCAATCCATTTAAGTACTTTCCTATTTACAACCCTAAATATGTTAAGGCTTATCAGCATAAGAAACTTGGTGAATTACCACCTCATGTTTTTGCTATTGCTGATTGTGCATATGATAATATGCTTAAAGATAGACATGACCAATGTATTGTAATATCAGGTGAGAGTGGTAGTGGAAAAACTGAAAGCACCAAACTTATTCTTCATCACTTGACAGCACTAAGCCATAAAACAAAAGCAACACTTTTGGAAAGAACTATATTAGCTGCTGGACCAGTGTTAGAGGTATACACTTATATTCTTTATATTATTTATATTAAATTTATTACTATATACAGAACAAGCAAGTTGAATTCACCATAGACTCTATCAACTTGAAAATGGTTTTAAAGAAACTATGAATATCAATTAATTAAAATAGTTATGTTAATGCGTAGTATTATTTTATTATTTTATCATTCTTACCATTTTGCTAAAACTTTTAATAGAAAATTTTAACCTAAATAATTTAAAAATTTTGTATTAGTAAAGTAAGGCTGACATTCTTTAAAAAGGCTCCTAAAAAGATATTCATAGAGTTAATGCAAATTGATAAACTATGAATTTGTTTGGTTTTTTAAAATATTTTCGATTTTTTGATCCTGTAACCAAGAGTTTTTTTTCTATTTAGACCTATATTTTTATTTTTACATTTAAATGCTAAGTTTAATTTTATCAGTAAGTTATCACAGCTTATATAATATATATTTCAATATTTTTTATGAATTATAGAAAAAAAAAAGGTCTAATATTCAAAACATATATTTTTTAAATTAAGGCTTTCGGAAATGCAAAAACCTGTCACAACAATAATTCTAGTAGATTTGGAAAGTTTACTCAAATCAATTATAGAGCTGATGGTGTAGTGTGTGGGTAAGTTTTTAAAATAGATGTTCATAAGATTTTAAAATCAGTTATAGAGCAGATGATGTGGCGTCGGTTTATTTTTGAAGTAATAATTAAAAGTTTTTAGTCATCATTGTCAATTGTCACCATTATTTTTTAGGGCTGTGCAGAAGAAATACTTGTTAGAAAAATCTCGAATTGTTTCACAGGCAGTAAATGAGCGCAATTATCATGTGTTTTATTATTTACTTGCTGGTGCATCAGAGCAAGAAAAAGAGATACTTTCTTTGCAAAATGCACAGAGTTATCATTACTTAAATCAGGTATCTTAAATATTTGATTATGTCAAGAGAAAGTTTGTGTAAAAAGTGAGATTGTGAGTGAACAACTACAAAAGTAACTACAAAATTACTAAAAAAATGCCTTATTTATATATATATATATATATATATATATATATATATATATATATATATATATATATATATATATATATATATATATATATATATATATATATATATAAATATATATATATATATATATATATATATATATATATATATATATATATATATATATATATATATATATATATATATATATATATATATATATATATAAGTGTTCAATCAAACTATTAGCCCACGTTGATATTTTTTGTTTGTTTTTTTCTTCTAAAAATTAAAACTTATGTTTTTATAAAAATACAGATAAAAACTTTATATATTAGTAAAGTATAACTATTTTCTAAAATAAGTTACACAAATAATAATAAGAATATGTTTATTAATGTAAGTTTTAATATTTTGTTGATTCTCCTTTATTTTTTATAACTACTCTAAGATGGTTTGGCATGCTGTAAATGTAATTTATAGCCATTTCTTTCAAATGTGCATTATGGTCTTAAGATGCCAAAAATTTTTTAATGGATTTTGCAGTATGGCATGAGGCTCCACCTTCCTTAAACATTTTCTTTTGCTTATTTAAAAACCACTTCTTCAATTGAAGTAAAAGACGGGTTTTAATAACTTTTTTGTATTGGTCCTATTTAAATATTCCATCCAAAGTGTAAAGTTGGTCAAGGTCTTTTTAACTAATAACCGACCAAAACATGGCTTTAGGAGGAGTTTTAATTGTCTGGATTATACAATCTTCATAAAAATTTTAATTGGAAGCCCTTTTATTATATTGAGCCTTTTGAGTCATAAATTCTTTGATAGACTCATGATTAAAGCATACCTGGAGAAAATAAAAAAAAAATAACTAAATACCAACACTGCAACATTAGGAAGAAAAAAAAATTATTTTAGTATTATAATGACTTGCTGATTTACAGTCATCAATAGTGAACCTTTTTTTTTTTTTCACCTCCTCAAGGCCGAGAAGGCCACTACAGACGAGGAGGCTACTTCATAGTGGTTATAACCCTCTCTCAACTCTATTACTCTGAAACACGAACCATGGCGAACAAGGCCGCTGCGCGGAGAAACAAGTTGTACTACTGAACTTCTTTGCCCAATCTAGGTGCTTTTTTTCTGAGAGTTATTTGGTCTTGGCTTTTGTGCTTGCCTTCTACTTCTGATGCCCAATCCATGCAAACTTTGTTGAACAGTGATTGTTGCTACATTTAGTCCTATCTCATTGAACTTGCTAGTAATTGTTGAGTATGCAGCAAATCTATTTTCTTTCACTATTTTCACTCTTATTCCTTGGTGTTAAGTTTTTTTCTGACCACATTTGCCCTGCCTCTGAATATCTAATGGAAGGACATTTTTTAATTTGTCTTTCATTTTGTTTACAGTATGTGTTGATATCTTACATTTTCTAGATATTTAACTTATCGAGTAATGCTTATCTGTCAAAAGATATTGAATAATTACTTTTTTTTTAGAATTAATGTTTTCTTTTTGCCCCATTTTGTTATTTAAAACTTTCAGGCTATTTTCATACAAAAAAATTATTTTAAAACAGATAGAAATTGTTTTGTATAAAAAATATTGAAGCAAAATATACAAAATCTGTAAACATTCTTTAACAATAGTTTGAAGTATATTATAATATAAATTTAATGTAGTTAAATACAAAAGGTAACAAAAAAAAAAGCTGCAAACATAAAAAACAGCATGACAAAACACAGATGTCATGAATTAAAGAGATGCTGTTTGTCCCCCTGAAAATATTGGCAACCATGAAAATAATTTTATACTGCTAATTGCCTAAAAGTGCTAAGTTATAAACAAAAAATCATAAATCAGCAAATAAAGACATTGCAACCAATTTTAATGGCACCTAAACTATTAAATAGTTGAAATTCTAAAAAATTTATAAAAAAGTTTTTTTAAAAAAATTTTAAAAAGTTTATAAAAATTTAGTTTATAAAATATATACACATATATATAAAATAACAAAATTATTTTTGGTTTTATTACATAAAAAATTGCATTTTTTAAGAAAAAATGAAAAAAAAACCATTTCTAATGTTTTTTTATGATAATTTTAATTAATAAGTTAAATATATCAAAATAAATATTATTTTTGAAATATTTTTATAATTTCGCTTCATTTGAGTACCAGGTTGACATATTTTTGAAAAACTTTTTTTTCGAAAATATTGGGGACCCATTAAAAATTCGAGGGTCTCGAGGGACCCCTTAAAATATTTTTTATTCAAAAAAATTTAACCCTAGTGTTTTTGTATTAGATAGAACACATTTAGGGGGTGAGAGCAGATTATTTTAAAAAATGTTGTTTTTTAAGACACCCTAATATATATATATATATATATATATATATATATATATATATATATATATATATATATATATATATATATATATATATATATATATATATATATATATATATATATAATATAAATATATAAAAGTTTTTGTTCTTATCAGTGACTGATATATTTTAGACTTCATGCTATCAAATAGAAAATGTAGATGAAAAGTATGAATTTGCTCGTTTGAAACATGCAATAAAAAATCTTGGAATTAGTAGCAAGACACAGCTCAGGTTAAAATAAAACAACATTTCTATTATGTAACTTTATAGTTATATTTTAAAATATAAATGTGTTATTTATGTGCTACTGCTAAGGTATAAGTTTGGTAATAACAAAATATCATTTTCTTTTAAATACTTTTTTTTTTGACAATTTTGTTTTTATTAAAAATTTTTTTATATAATACATTTTATTAGAAATTTTAATAAAATTTGTTATTTTATTAATTTTTATTAGGATGTTTTCTGTACTATCTGCCGTGCTTCACATTGGAAACATTAGATTTAAAAAGGTTTTTTTTTTTTTAATTTGTGTATTTTACCTTTGTATTATTATGTTTTATAAGACATTTGAGTATAAATAGCAATCCTAAGATTCAAACCGCATACATTACAAACATAAATACAAACCACATTTTTAGTGTACAGTTTAATAAAATTGTTTAATAGCAATCCTGATTGAAACTACATAGCCACATTTTTAGTGTACAGTTTAATGAAATTAGTAAAGTAATAAAATTATGTAAAGAAATGTTATTACATTTTTATTTTTTTATTACAATATATATACAAGAAGAGGTTTGTGTGTTTGTCCCAATTTCTATATATTTTGTGCAACCAGATATTTTTAATTGTTTTTTTTTTTTCAGAAAAGTTCAAAAAAACTCAATTTTGTTAATTTTTTATGGTTGGTCTTTTACTTTTATTTTTAAAATTAAATGTCAGTTAATGAGGACCTTTTTTTCTTTCTAAAACAGATACATCACCCTCCTTTTAAGATCTCTTCAGATCAGCCCTGGCTAGAGAATAATTTTAATTTTATAAACTAAGTTTAGATACTAAGGTGATTAAATTGCAACAAGAGGTAGTAACAAGTTGTAGTAAAAAATTAGTTTAAAATTAAATTAAAAAAAATTAGATAAACAAATTTCTTTTAATATTCTCCAGTAAAATAAATTTTATTGCACAAAGCATAGCTTTATTAAACAGAATAGGTAAAAAAGTGTAAAAACAAAAATATTTTTCTGTTTTTTGGATGACTTCAAATTGTTTTTAGACCATTATTTTACTGTCACAAATTCTTGCTTGCTTAGTCTTAAAACTTTGATTACATAATAGTTGCTTTAGTCATGGTAACAACCTTCGAAACTAATAACTTAGGTCCTAATTGGAAAGTCTTTGGTCCTAAGGTCCTAATTGGAAAATCTTCACAGCAATCCACAATCACAAATGATGACTTTCACAATTTTATTTCAAATTATCACTATTAATGACCAGTGCTAACTAAGTTTTTTCACAATTTTAAATAAGCCCTTAATTTTATCATTAGTTTTGAATGCAAGTTTAAATGGATAAATAGATTTAAAATCTGCATGATTTAAGATTTTAAAATCATAGAGGCATGATTCAAAAAATTTTTTTATTTTCAAAATGAATAAAAGAAGCATTGATAAATCAATTGTATTCTTACTACAAAAAAAAAAAAAAAAATCATGGAAAATCATTTACTGTTGTTCATTTTTACAGCAAGAATGTTCCTAAAAGAACTGTCTATAACATAATTAAATGCCACAAGTCTGGAGTAATTGCTTAGGATAAAAATTTTTTAGGTGCTTTAATTGCTCCTTATTAGCTAAACAATTTCTCAGTAAATTTCTGGAAGAAACAAGGCATTCCTGATTGAACACTTTTTTGAAAATACAGTTATTGCGAATGGATGAAAGTTATTTCACTCTCTCTCACTCCGGTATCAGCAACTATGATAATTATTAATTAAGCAACAAAGATCTTGTTTAAAGTAAAATTTAAAAAAGAGTCCTTATAAAATAGTATAAATAGTATAAATGAGTGTTTGGCTGCTTTAGTAATTATATATTTTGGCTGGATCTTGTAAGTTCACATTATGCATTATCCATTTTAGACTACATAGTTAAAAATTCCATTGAGGATTTTGATAAACTTTAGGTCTATGCAGAAAGAGAAAGTGTATGAGGCTGGAAAGCTCAATCAACTTTATATGAGTATACAAAAAATGCCTCTCTGAACTTGATAAAGCAAAAATATAATTTAATCATCTTGTTTATTTTTGTTTTTTTTCTAGATAAAATATTTCTAACTGTTAAAGTTCCACCTGTCATTTTAAATGATTTCAGTGTATTTCTGATGCAGTTCTTTCATCATGGAGCTCTCCTTTATTTAATATTATATATATATTTTTCTTTCATCATTAACCATTCTTTATCTATTATTTGCCACTTAGTAGCTTTGTTTACTGACCAATTTATTAGACCTAAGACATCTGCTTCAAAGACCAGTGTCTTAACTTTAAAATCTCATTAAAATAATTTTTAAATGTAATTAAATTAGTCAACATAAGTAATAAGATGCAACTTATATTGCAACTTTTATTGCAACTTTTATTGCAACTTTTTTTTCATTGCATTTTACTTTTAATGCAAGTTTTATAGCAAGTTATCAAGCTGACATATAAATTAAGAATGAATAAAGCAATAGTTAAATAGTTGGGTTAAGTAGAACAGGAATCAATTAAAAAGTTTTTCACCATTTTTTTTTACAGCATTTTCCAGTATGTTTTTTGTAAAAGTAAATTAGTAAAAAAAAGAACATCAAGAAAACTTGTTATTGGCATGTTAGTTGTAGTGAAATAGTTTTCCTGTTATTGGCATGTTAGTTGTAGTGAAGTAATTTTCCTGTTATTGGCATGTTAGTTGTAGTGAAATAGTTTTCCTGTTATTGGCATGTTAGTTGTAGTGATATAGTTTTCCTGTTATGCAAAAAAAAAAAAAACCTTTAGCAAATATGGTTACTTTTTTATTTCTGGTAAAAAAAAAAAAACTAAATATTTTTCATCCCTTAGTCGGTGAAGTTGTCCTCCTTGCATATTCTCTGTATATTTTGTCAATTTTTTGTTGCGAATAGAATATGAGTTGTAAATTTTATGTTTCAGCTTGGTCTCAATGAGGAAGCAGTATGTGTTGAAGATGATAGTCTTATTGATACAATATCAAAGCTTTTGCAGGTGAGGATTGAACAAGAAATTATAGTTAAAACATTAGGAGCTTTATGTTCTTAGAATTCTGTCATTTTTAACTTAATTAATTTCAGGTTGAAAAGCAAGACTTGGTCCAGGCGCTCACTCTTCGTAAAACAATTACAAGAGGTGAAGAGTATATAAGATTTTACAGACTAGAAGAAGTAAGTTTCTTTTAATCTATTTTTTACCATTGATTTTTTTTTAAAAATAAATAAAAGTTAATTATCAACTTATAGGCTGCTGCCACCAGAGATGCAATGGCTAAGTGTCTTTATGCTTCATTGTTCGACTGGATTGTTCTGCAGGTTTAATTAATTTCTATTTTTATTTTTGTTTTGTTTTTCTTGTGACCTATAAATCAATAGAAGATTTTTTTCAGACAAATCACATCCTATTGAACAGACAAGGAAAGAAGAATGACCAAAAGGTACTATTTTTATATTTTTGTATAAGTTGATTTTTTTCTCAATATAAATCTGAGGATATCTGAGGAGATAGAAAATATAAAAACCTTATTTGAGGTGTAGGAAAACTTTTAAATAAAACTCCTAATTTAATTGTTAATTATGGGTAATAAGAACTAGTTAGGATAAGGTATTGAGCTGTAAAATTTGCTTCAACTCTTCCATAATGTCGTATTAAAATAAGAAAATGTCATTATTGAACCTGTCCCCATCACACAAGTGTGAAATTATGAACATAAGTATTAAAAAAAACTAACCAACAGCAAAATAACTAATTGTTAAAGCATATGTCAATAATAACTTGCTATTAATGCATAATGTTGGTATTTTGAGCTAGTTAGTTTAGCAATATGTTAAATGAGCAGTCAGTAATATGTAGTGACTCCTTCAACTTTGGGTAGATGCAGAGCCATGGCTAGGCTTTTCCTCACCCCTCTATTGAGGGGGTAGGGGATTATTTGCAAATTTAGGGGCTCTTTTGCAAATGTAAGAAGCTTTTTTTTTTTTTTTTCTCTTAGTAATACCTAAAAAAAAAAACTTTTAATAATTTTGAAGCCCTTATGACAGATTTTGTGGGGACTCAGGCCTAATAGCCACAGCTTTAGGTAGATGAACACAGTTTAAATCAAATAAAATGACACAGTTTAAATCAAATATTATGAAAAAAAAACTGTATAAAGAAATAAAAAAAGCTTCTTTTTGTTGTTTCAGATAAATAAATATTAAAAATTATCTATTCTTAAAAAATATTTAAATTTAATGAATAAATATTGAATTGCTTTTTTTTTGTGTGAAAATTTTTAAATTTTTTCCAGTATACTTTTTTTTTTATCCTGATGTATATGATGTATATTTTTATCCTGATGTATCCATGATGTATAATTTGATATACCCTGGTTTATTTGTTTTTTTATATATTTGTTTACAGTTTTTTTTTGTGACCTATGACTTATTAGGTTTTAATAATTCTTATGAATAAATTCTCACAAAGAAATTGAAATGAATGAGTTCTAACAAAGTTTTGTAAAGTTTACAATAACATATTTTTTTAAATAAATTTGAAAACCATGTAACCTGCACAGAAAAAAAAAGTATTGACTTGTTGAGTTTCAGACAGATTCAGACATGAATGGAATGGAAAAAGATTTCCATGCCACCATTACACTGAAGATATTGGATATGAGTTAGAGATAAATGAAATAGAAAAAGACTTCCATGCCACCATTACACAGGACATTATCCAAATTAATTACATAATGATGTTAGTTAGAAAAATAAAATAAAATTCTTTACTAATACAATAATTATTTTATAGGCTTTTTCCATTGGAGTGTTGGACATTTTTGGGTTTGAAGACTTTGAACACAATAGTTTTGAACAGTTTTGTATTAACTTGGCCAATGAAAATTTGCAGCATTACCTCACTCAACACATTTTTAAGATTCGACAGGTAATTTAGTGTTTAGGCTCCCCTTACTTTACTAATAATATTCAATTGCATAACATTTAATACGTATGTATACCTGTAACAATTGCATAAGTAATATTGCAAATTTATATATGGTGTATACCTTGCAAACACACACATGTAAGTTTCAGTTCTCATTTGATGTTTTAGGATGAGTATACAACAGAAGGACTAATGTGGGATCATGTTGATTATGTTGATAACTTAACATGTTTGAATTTAATTGTTAAGAAACCAACTGGTTTGATACATCTATTAGATGAAGAATGCAGGTAGTTTAAAATATATATATATATATATATATTTTATAGAAACAGAATAATAAAACATAAATTAATTAAAGATATGATTATTTATTTTGTGATAATTTTAACTAATTATTTTTTTTAGTTTGACAATTGGAACAGATAAAAGTCTGCTTGATAAGTTTAACAAGCATCATGGAGGAAATCCGTTTTATGAGATGCCACCAACACGAGAACCAGTGTTCAGTATCATTCACTATGCTGGTACTGTGAAATATAAAATTAAGGTTGCTGTTTATTTTAAGTTACAATTTTTTAAAAATTATTTTCATAGTTCTAAATAATAAGGTATAGCTAGGAACATAAGAATATTATTGGTTAAACTTGTGTTTAAGATGAGTTTGCCAAATTTTAGGTAAACATATTTTACTAAGATGCAATATATTAAATGCATTAGTAAAATATTTTGTTTCTTTGTTTACAAATTTTTACTAAATTTTTTAGCATTTTCGTGCTAAAAACCAAGACTTGATACGTAGTGACATTACAACAACCTTCAAAAACAGCAGAATGTTGTTTATGAGAGAGTTGATGGGTAAGTTTCTGATTTTTTATTATAACTGAAATAATAAAGAATATAGAATGAAAAAAAGTTTGTTTAACTTTGTTTTTTGTATAGTTAATGAAAAATGCCTATATCAATCAGCACTTTTCATACCATTAATTCTATCTTTCATAATACCAATCCTAATTTTTAAACTAAAATGAACTTTAGTTGTTGTATTTCGTGTTTTTTGTCTCTGTTGTTAAAATTTTTAAAAAATAGTTTTAAATCAATTTTTCAATAGGTTCTGATCCTGTTGCCTGCTTTTATTGGGCTGTTCTTCGTCATATCTTTAAGGTTGTTTTTTTCTTAAGAAGATGTACAGAGTTGAGATCTCAAGGAAAAGGTAGTTTAACAAGAAATAAAATTATTATTCCAGCCCTCGGAATTAGGGTCGGCATTTGGCAATGTCAACCTAATTGCCAACCTCAAAGTATTTGATTCGGCAAAAATTCGATAACCTCAATTCTATGTTTTAGGGTAACCCCTTTGTGACAAATTTTTTTTTGCTAACCCAAACTGACCTCTAAAAGATTGAGGTCAGCAAATTATTGCTGACATCATTTTTCCTAATTCTGATGATTTTTATTCTAAAGAGTTGTACAAGTAGAATTAAATATTAATTCCAATGACTTTAAAATAATACAGATTTTTTTATTTAGGCTCCAAAAATAGCGATTTTAAACAGAAAACAGGAAATTCGGTAAGTATGAATATTATGCTATATATATGTGATTTATTCTATTTTGTATTTTGACATTTGTTCAAGTATCTCAGTAGATGAACAAGGTCGTTGTGCGGAGAAACAAGTTGAGTGCGGTACTACCTTGGATGTAGTGGGGATCGAACTCCGAGCTTCTTGTTTATGAGGAGAGCACTCTACCACTACACCACTGCCGCATTACATTTGTATTGGTTCTTCTAATCATACCTTTTATCTTTGAGATGAGGCTTAAAAAAGGCGTAAGATTTTCTTTATGCCAACATTGTAAGGTTGCATCTCTCTCCTTTTTATGTAAATTATTATAATTATTATCTCTTGTTTCACCAAACACAATCTTAAGTAACTCCTTATTTAGCAAATTTTATATTTTTACTTTTTCCTTATTACTCAAAAAGCCTTCTAATTTTTTTTTTTCTGGAACGTCAATACTTTGGAATCTCCTTGTTCATATTTCCTGAATGTTCATATTTCCTGAATTACAATTTACAGTTTTTTATGTCTTTTGTCAACTAATTTCTTTTACTTTTTTATATTTACTTTCTGGTAACTTCCAACTTAAATAGTGGTTGCAGCCATTTTGGATGGGGATTAGTTTTGAAAAAAATTATTTTCATAGTTAATTTAGGGCCAGATTGTTATATGTCTTATACAATAAAATAATATAGATGTTTAAAATCATACCATCAATAAACTCTGATTTGTTTTTGTTTGAAGTGTTTTTTATGTTTAGATTACTGACATGACACCACCCAACAGGTAGATCATTAATCATGTTTCTATGTTTTTAAGTTTATGGTAATATATGTTAACTTCAATATGAAATATTAAAAATATTTATTTTTTTGCAGGCGAAAATTTTTGTTGAAAAAAATGTCAGAAGCAGCACCTGAATATGAGTCTGATAATTTAATAAGACAAGCCAACAAAGTTATGAACAGGTATTCTCTTCAAACATTCTTGTCATGATAAATAAAATATTTTTAATGTTTCTTCAAATTGAGTGCAGAAATAAATAAAAATACATTGAACAACTGTAAATAGCTGAAGCTGTACAGTCCAAACCCATAATTATTACAGTTTAGTTATAATAAAAAACATGTAAGTTTTAAAAAGATACAACGTTTTATCTATATTTATAAATTAAGCATTATTCTGCATATTTCAAGTCTGCTTCTTAAATCTTAGCACTTTTCACCACTGCTAATTTTTTATTGTTGGGTAGATTTTTTAAATATATATGTAAATATATATATAATATATATATATATATATATATATATATATATATATATATATATATATATATATATATATATATTTATATATATATATATATATATATATTTATATATATATATATATATATATTTATATATATATATATATATATATATTTATATATATATATATATATATATATTTATATATATATATATATATATATATATATATATATATTTATTTATTTATTTATTTATTTATATATTTATATATTTATTTTACAGGAGAGTGTTTTCAATGGCTAAGAATTACCAGGTAAGTTTAAATTACAAAATAATTTTGCATAAAAACTTTTTTTATGTTTAACTCATACAATATACATGATTACTTTTTAGTAAATAGTTATTAATAAGAGGATAACTTTACTACCCCTTCATCTTTTAATTATATCTACATTCCGAAAGCCATAAAAATTTGCAACACTTCAAATTTTTAGGCTTTTTCAACTCACAAACTTGTAATAACTTTTGTTTTTTTCTGATAACATTGAATATAGTTCCTTTTTTATTTTATTTAATAATACCTGTTAATATATCTAAGAATTTTTACAAGTTCAAGATATGTCATAATGATTAAGTTTTAGTGATATTTTTGCCACTAAAGTTGTTAAGTGTTCAAATTCTTAGTTTCTAAGTGATCTTTGCCATCATCTACCAAAATTGTCCCTATTGACTCCTAACTTCCAATCATTTTAAATCTCTGTTTTTTTTTGTTGATCTTCTTTGTCTTGCAAGTAAACATTTGATAAATAAGGCTTCTTTGATTTTTACAAAATTATAGTTTTGTGTGACTTAGTTTTTTTACCAACTGATCAAGTATTACTTATTTTGTGACAGCTAAAAGTTATAAAATAACTTAGTTTTGTGTGTCTAACTTAGTTTGATACCAACTGTTCAAGCATTACTTATTTTGTGACAGCTAAAAGTTATAAAATAATAGTTTTGTGTGATATACTTAGTTTGATATTAACTGTTCAAGCATTATTTAATTTTTGATAATTAGGCAACTTAGATACCTAGATTTGGTAATTTAAATATATAGAAATTTAAAAGTATGTATATTATCTGGTTTACTTTCTTTTTTATAACTAAAGCATTAACAGTGTCATTATGTAGAAGTCAATTTCATTCATATAGACTGTTTATAAAATTTGTTGCTATAGTAATAAAAAAATAATTTGAAAATATAGAACTTATCAAACTATTTCTACATAATTTTGTAGCATTGTTTTAAAACAACAACTGTGAAAAAAAAAGAAAATAACTTTTGTAGATGTTTTTGGTAAAAATTTTAATATGTTTAGTGATGGAATTTTTGAGAAGTGTTTGCACCATTTTGTTTTACTTTAATCCTATTTGGTGAACAATATTTTCTAAGAATTTATTATTTTTGATAAAAATTGATAAAAGCCAGGAGGGGGGTCAGTGTTCTTTTAGTCATAAAAAGTTATTAAATAAAAATTAAAATTAAATATTGTTGTTTTGGTTAGAAAAATGGTTGTACTATTTTTAATTCATCGCTTTCTTTTTATGTTTTTTTAAGTATTATTTTTGTTGATTTATTGGTTTTCTATATCTTATGTTGACATAGACTTTTCTTTGTTTTAAAAGACTCAATAATCCTTGTTTATTATTTTCTTGGTGTTGCTTACATTAGTGTTTTGTTACACGATTTAAATATTAATACAGGTAAATATTGCTCATTAATCTGAAGGGCTTTTTGTTCTATGTTTATATTCGTTGATATTTTTTTTTTGATTGGTCTGGCTTTTTGTTTATGTTTTTTTTTTTTTTTTTTTTTAAATTAAACATTGTTAAAATAATGATTAACTCAATCTGGAAAAATTATGATTGCAGTGAAATTGTTTATTTAATGTGTTTTAAATAAAGTATTTAATACATTTCTCAAAATGAAATGATTTTAAAGATGTTCTTTAAAAAATTATAATCAATGCTAAGTTGTAAATGTTGACACTAAGTACAAAGTTAAGTTAAAAATATTAACACTAAGTACAAAAAGTTAAGTCAGATTTTCCTCTATACACTGACAGTAATTGATTTTTTTTTTGCCAAGTCATAGAAGATTAAAAATAACATGTCTTTTATTTTATTTTTTTTGTCATTTGTAATTTGTAATTTTTTGAAATAGTTATATTAACATAAAATAAGATAAAAAGTTTGATTTGCTTAGAGAAGATTTTTTTTTTTTTTTTTTTTTTGTTAAAAATTAAAAATGATACTTTTAAAAAATTTTTATTTCTGTGTTTGCTTGCTTTATAATGTTGTTTAAAACAATTTTAAAAGTTTACAGTTGGAATTTAAACCCTCTACCCTTCTATAACTCCTCCCCCTTGTATAGTTAAATTTGGTTTCTTTTTTTAATTGACACATATATTTCTAATATTCAGACTTGATTACTTTTAGTTTCATATAACAAATGTTTTTCTACAAGGTTAGCTTTGCACTACTATAGTTTATTACGTCACATTTTTTGCATGAACAAAAAATTCTCTGATAGAAAAATAAATTTTTGTTATTTTTTTTCTCTCTAAATTTAAATGATACCATGAGTTATAATATTCTAAGCTTGATTATTTAAATTATTTTTTTAGAATTTTAAAAAATATGTATTTTTTTGATTTTATCTAGAAAGTTTCATTTTACCATAGTGATATGTTATGTTTCATGTTGTTATGCAGATGTGTTTGGGTTTAAATAGTTGCAAATAGTTAAGAGTTTTTTTTTTCTATTTTATAAATCTGAATAAGTTTTAAATCTATGAGTAAGTTGGCATTCAATCCTGCATTCATCTTGCAATTCATCCTTGCAACACTCCTCTAACTTGTAGTTTTCCTGAAATAACTTTATAAGTTCAGTGTTTTCCTAAAATTTATAATTAAAGATGTTGGTCAATTTAAAAAGCCGAAATCTTTGTGAAATTCACCAAAGTTCTGCATTGATTAATCAAATAATATAAACAAATGATGCAAACAAGACGCTCCTAGATTCATAAACAAATTAAATGGTTGCTACGGTTACTGATCCTACAGGTATGAGAGGTATAATTACCCCTGTTTTTTATGGCAATCGAAAATTTCATGGAAATGGAAAAAAAAAGTTTGCACCAAATCATTTTTATGACCCATTTGTTTATCATGGCATAAAATTATCTTCTGAGGCGCAACATCATTTTCTCCATGTAAGTTAATTAAGTGACTATTAATTATATACTGATCATGTGATCTTATATACTGATCATATGATTACTAATGAGGGCATTTAGTTATATATATTAGTGTAATTACATTTAGGGGACATTTTATCAATGTGCCATTACTGTTTTCATAATTTTTTATGAATATATATATATATATATATATATATATATATATATATATATATATATATATATATATATATATATATATTTGTCTGTTTATATTTATTTAGCCCTTAAAGTAAACTGGATTAAATATTTAAAATATATTTTCAGCTTAATTGTAAGTAATGGTTGGAGGTGCTTGTAAACTTTTCCTAATTTCTTCCGCAATAAAGATGCTTAATCTAGATAGTTACACTATATGAGTGTGGATGTAAAGTATTAATATATATATATATGATATATAATATATATAAATATAAGTTTTTGAAAATAAGAAAACCCAAAATATTTTGGTTTCATGGTTTATAAAGATATAAAGTCTCCAAAAGTACCCAATAGTTTTAGTTGTGCTACTTTTTGACATCTTAATCTCTTATAAATTTTTTTTTGAAAATATTTTTTAAAAAATGTACATTGCATAAAAATGATCTGTTCAAAACTTAATTTGTTCCTTATCTTTCTTTAATCATGGTTGTAACTTGAAATTTATTTTTAATTTTCAAAGTATATATATATATATATATATATATATATATATATATATATATATATATATATATATATATATATATATATATATATATATATATATATATATATATATATATATATATATATATATATATATATATATATATATATATATATGTATATATATATATATATATATATATATATATATATATATATATATAATTTTATAGTATATATACTTAGTAGTTTGTATATATCTATACAATTAAAGTTTATTTATTTAAGAAATTTCTTTTATTGTAATTTATGCTTTTAGGATATCATTCATTAATTAATTTCATATTTTAAGAATCCCTCAAAAGTTCGATCTGCCCTTGAAGTTAAAAGGACTATATCTGGTGGTATGACAGAAACTCTGAGACGGGGTAGTTCAAAGGCTCCTCCAACAGTTGTTGCACAATTTCAGGTAAATGGTTATACAAATTTTTGTTTTAAGGAAAACTTTTTGCTAATAAATTTTTTTTGGTGAAATAGTGGAAAAGTAATTCTATAAACACATAACTCTCTCTCTCTCTCTCTCTCTCTCTATATATATATATATATATATATATATATATATATATATATATATATATATATATATATATATATATATATATATATATATATATATATATATATAAAATATAAGTAAATGTTAAAAGGGCAAAAGTCCCACATTGTAAACTTTCAGGAAACTAAAAAAATCTGCACAATCCCCTTAGTAAATTTTTGTAATTTACTAAGTAATTTAATAATTATTTTTCACCTTAAACATATTTTTCTATATTTATTTTTAAAGAACCTATAAACCAATTAACACTGTGGACTTCAGCCCTTTTAACATTTAACAATTAATTATTGGTTATTTTATTATGATTTTTATTTTGGGCTATAGAAAATGGTGTCATAAACTGCAATAAATTTTCACAGAGTGTATATTTATCAAATGATTACAAATTTTAACAAAAAGTATAAGGAAAAAAAGGTCAATTACAGCAATTTTATCATCTATGCTTAATCATTTACCCCAACATCTTCTGCTTCACCATCATTGCTTTCTGCTGTAGGCCATTGCAGTAGTTCGTTGTAAAAGTCAATATGTTCATGTGGAATATACCTAATATACTTTCTTAAGTCATTCAATTTAGCAGATTTTGTTGGAATTTTTACATTTAGGTAAATAAGCTGTGTTTGCAGGTTTACACTTTCTTAAGTATGTTTTCTCATCTTAAGAATATGTTTGACAATACTATTGATAATTCACTGGCTATACATAGACCTACAATGTCACAATCGTATTGAAAATGATGAAATTAAAATATTGAAAATGGTGAAAATGGTGAAAATGGTGAAAATGGTGAACGTAAAATAGCTCTTGCTCAGGTATTTTGGGCAATGAGATGTTTTTTTACTTAATAACAACAGGCTATACTTAGTCGACTAAACAAATTGGGCTATAAGTTAATATATGATAAGTTATTGTAGACAACTCTTAAGATTTCATTCTATTGTCTTGAACCTTCAAATATTTACAACTTAAACAAGCAATCATCAACCTAAGTCTATCGGCCAATTATAAATTACAGAGCCTAAATCTGACTAATTATAGATGAATTATTACAGTTTAGCATACGTCTATTAAAGTAAGAATTATTTATGTAGTATCTTTTACCTGATCTCTGAAAGACTTAGCATCAACCTTTTGTTCCCTGTAGTTTTCACATGCCACACCAGTAAGACAGTATATTTCTTAATCTTGTTCCTTTAATAACCATCTGCGTTTCTCTTCTTTTTTTTTAGAACTGATCAGACCCACTACCACTATCACCCAATTAAAAAAGCAGTTAATCAAATGAAATTACTATTAAAATAATCACACGTAATAAATCAATCAATATATTTTTCGATAAAAGATCTTACAATCGAGGTCATTTACAAATAGTTAAAAACTAATCTTAAGTAAATGCCATGAAATAGAATTAATAATACAAATAATAATGATAATAATAATGATAATAATTTAAAAGTTAAATGAATAATAATAAAATTATATGATAATAAACCAATATTAAGTTTAAAACAACAATTGAATATAATGCACAGATAGGAAAGTTACAAACAGTTATGTACTGACAAAACGTAACAACCTACCATGTAACTAAAACAATTACTGCAAAAAAAAAGTAACAATGATTTAATAAATACAATAAACTTAATATCAATAATCATAATAAAAACAATAAAAGTAAAATAAATACTTCATTAAAAAATAACAATAAATAAACAAAACAAAAATTATTCAATAATACTCACAATAATACTCACACAAAACGTGTCACACACACAAACATTTAGTCACGAAAAGTATAGAGTTTTTATAATAAATGACAATATTAAAATAAAAAAGGAAATCATATTAAGCAAACACATATAATCACTCAAAAATAATAAAATTTAAAAAAATATTCTTTTTTCTTTCTTCGAAAACAAAGCAATTTTTATATTTTATTTCATTTCCTTTTTAATTCCTTTCCATTTTTGAATGTTTTTTTTCTTTTAACTTTGGTTTTTGTCGTTTTCTTGTTTCTTTTTTTTTTTGTTAATTTTGTTTGATTTGTTTTTTGTTTTATTTTAGTTTTTTTATTTTATTTTTTTCTTTTCTTCATTCTTTATATTTTTATTTCATTTATTTTTCTTATTTTATTCTTTTTTATTTATCTTTTCTTTATCTTTCTTTATCTTTTTTTTTTTTTTTTTTAATGTAGTTAATCAGCTTGATTAACTACATTGTTGTACAATAACAACAATAAAGGTGGTTATGTTTGGTCAGCTGTCTGCAGCGCAGAGCTTTTTATTTTTTGCTAAAAAAGATTGAAGACTTCAAGACTTCAGACTTAAAGTCTTCAATCTTTTTTTGTTAAAAGACTTCAGCTCTTTTAACAAAAAACAAAAACTTTTGGACACTGTACAGGTTAGATAATACTTTTGACAGTCACCTATTTAACACAAAATGGTAGAACTATACTTTGAACACACAAATTTGCAAAAAAGGGGTTACCATAAAGCATAGAAACGAGGTGGGCAACTTTTTGCCAACCTCAAACACTTTGACCACAAGAGAAACAAAATTTTGCAAAATTTTGTTTCTCCTTGTTCTTTGAAGTAACTTTTCATCTATTGAATTTAATCTTTTGCAAAATTTACCAGATTAACTCTTTGTGAGATTAATTTGAATTTGGCTGTTTATCTTAGGATCTTAGAGTTGATAGCTATTATCATTTGGTTCACAAAGACTCTAAAAAATACATGCTTGACCTGAACATATACTTATGTACTATTATATACCTATGCAGCCCTTGGAATTAAGGTCGGAATCCGGCAATGCCAACTTAACTGCCAACATAAAAGTGTTTGATGTCATCAATTTTTTGCTGACCTCATTTCTATGTCTTATGGTAAAACCTTTGTATCAAATTATTTTTGCCCACCTAATGCCGACCTCTAAAAGGTCGGCAAATTATTGCCAACTTCATTTTTTCTAATTCCAAGAGTTGCTTATGAGTATAGTTTTATTGCTATGAGTATTCTTTTTTTTTTCCTACTCTTTATTCATTCATCTTTTTTTTTTGTTCTTTATGTTCCCAAGACTGTATTTTTTTCGATGTTGTCTCTGATCAAATTGACCAAATCTTTTCGCTTCATTCCACGCATATGATATTTTGTTTTGACAACTTGGCCATGATCTTTTTGCTGTTTTGATAATTGGCTATTTTTAAAAATGCAATCAAAAAATAAACTTATAAAAAATTAAAAAAATACAAAACACTAAACTGAAAAAAGATCTTTATATATGAGAAAATATAAAAATTAAATCTTTACATATGATAAAATAAATAAATAAAAAAAAGATGAACTTGAAGATGTAAAACCATTAAGATAATATTTAAATATCTTTGTTAGCCCACAGTAGCCACTGCCATACTATATGAAAAGCAGAATTTGGTCAAAATTTAGATATTGCTACCTGGGCGTTAACAATGTGGTTTTGTACTTTATTTTCACAGTAAAAAAGTTATGCAAGTTTATGTGGATTTGCACATCCCTGAAGATATCAAATATTTAAAATTGAAAATAAGCATTTGAAATTAAGTCCATAATTTTTGTGAAACTAAAAGCAAAAAAATCAGTAAGTGAAGTGGAGTTTCTGTTGTTTCACGTATTTTCAAAACATTTCAACGGTTATTTTCAAAACGGATCATTAATGTGTCTAAACCTTTTTATTTGATTTCCAAACATATTGCTTATATGGAGATACTTTTTTTGCTTTACATGGCAGAGTAACCTATGGCGGAAAAATTATTTAATGCAGAAAAAATCTATTAACTTTATTGCTTCATTAAAATGTAGCAAATTTTTTTAATATATATATATATATATATATATATATATATATATATATATATATATATATATATATATATATATATATATATATATATATATATATATATATATATATATATATATATATATATATATATATATTTGTTTTTTTGATGTTTTATTCATCTAGTAGATATTTGAAAATATTTTATATTTGAAAATATTAAAGTTTTAAAGTCTTCAAGTTTTTTAATTAAGTTTTCAAGTAATTAAGTTTGAATTAAATATCTTTAATTCAAACAAGTCAGGTGAAATGCTTTTTGAGCAAGTAATAAAAAGACTTTAGCTGTTAAAACTTGAAAAAATAAGTTCAATACTTTTAAAATAGTTCTTTTGTTATGTAATTTAAATTTAAACTGTTTATGAAAAAAGATTTAAAGTTGTTATATATGCGTGTTTTATATTTTTTATTTTACCTTAAATAAGTTGTACTTTACATTACAGTTAAAAACTATAAAAGTATTGTGTATTGAAAAGTCCTTTTGTTTTTAAAATAAATATTTTGTGTAGGTTAAATTTTATATTTTAATTTTAAAAGGTTTTTAATTAAAAATATGAAAATAAAAATTTAAATAGCTTTTTAAAAACTATTAAGGCTCTATAGTTCTTTGCTATTGTTTTTACAGTTTTTTGAATACACGATGTAAAAAAATTTTTTTTTCATCGTTTATCGAAATTTTTTTATGTTTCTTATTTAATTTGAGTATGCTGAGTCTGAATATGAAATTGGTTTTTTTATTTCATCGACTGTTTGATCATAAAACCAAAAATTCAATTAAACATAAATAATAATAATCATATTGCACGAGATAAAACTTTAGTCAATGTATAACATTTACTAGTTCAAAAATGTTATGTTATGTTACAAAACGTCATGTTACATCATGTTACATACATATATTACATAATGTTACATTGTGTTCTAGTGTAAAAGTCTCTCAAAATCTCAAAAAACACTAGAAGTGAATAGTAGAACGTGGT